CTTTCAAGCCATTTCCCAAACTAATATTTTTGAGTCTCGCAAAAGTTTTTCAATACTTTCCTGTTTCCTTTACTACTTTTTCTCATCAAAATACAATTACTTCAAATGTTCTTGTAACTGTGGGGCTTTTGCATTTAGGGCACATAAATAGAGTTGTATTGGTCCACAAATTAGTTGTTAATTTTATATCTTCAAATGTTTTTGAATAAATGATGAAATATTCCCAATCCCATAGGTTTCATTTGTTTCCCTCTCAACCAGCTTCATTCCATTCAGTTCGATTCGAGCAGGCTGCATTCCTCCTGGTCAACATTCCCGAATTGGAAACTGTATCAACGTCTGCGGGAAATTCCATCTTCCACTTCCAACGCCGCTCCTGGTGGGAACAGGACATCACAAGGATTCCCCTCGTTGATATTCCTACCTGCTCTATGGAAATGAGCTCCTTTGTTGTGGTTCTAAATGTCATCCCGCAGTTTCTATGCCTCTATTAATGTTCGGTTTATGCATCCTCAGTCCCCCCCCCCTGGTTTCAATTCCGCCGCCGTCAACCCGCACGCCGCTGCGCCGTCGGCCCTGCCGTGTACACTGGCAGGTCATACCGGCCGCATATTACGCGCGTCCACCCGCAACCCGATTATCTTGCGCGGGGCGCACTTAACAGAGTGGCGCGGGGGTTGGGACGTGGGCGGGGGCGTGGCCGGGCGGGCGGATGGGCGACGCGACCACGCTAATCCCGCGACTGCCGCGTTACGAGTCATTACTCGAGCGCTGTAATGCGCCGCCGGATGGGAAACCGACCGCCTCCAGGTCCCCCCTCCCCCTCCCCCTCCGCCCACGCCTTCGACTTCGATGCGCGCGGGCGGGCGGCGATTGGCAGTGGGCGGTATGGCGTTCCGCTCCGATCAAATGTGTGCAGGTGCAGCTGTTGATTGCTGAGCGCGGGGCTTACCTTAAGAGGCGCGCCAGTGAACAGGAGCTCTCCCCTCTGGGGACATGCGGCGGCTCCGGTCGCACTGTGCCAAGTGCAGTGTCGTTTACCAGCTGGTCGCAATGTTTGAGTTGTGGCGGTGGCGGTTTTCGACTCTAGCTACAAAGCTGGGTCGAATTCAGCGGTCTGGAGGAGAATTCTAGCGACCGGCTGCTCAAATCGTTAGATTCGTCTGGTTCCTCCGGTCTATACCAGACGAATGCCGGGGCAGTTTTCTAAGAAATCTGACCACGAAGCATTCGTTCTTCGAACTCGCATTCGTTCTTCGAACATGAGTGGTGTATGTTGTATATTCGCCTTCAGAACACTAATCAGCAAAGTTTGTGGAGTTTTAAAATCTTAAATAAATAGGGAACAAAAATATGGAGATGTTAAGCAACTCCAGGGAATCAAATGTAGTTTTAGATAATTTTGGGACAGAATTGTTCGAACTAATTGATAATTATCGTACATTAGCATTAGAGAATAACACAGAAAAACAGTTGATAGGTGATCATTTAATTCATATTAGAAAACAAAACCTTAAAAATATAGCTGTACTAAATTCTACCTCTTTGCGTCTTTCATACCTGCCACAAGTTTTTTTCAGCAATTATAACTTTGAAATTGCAATATTACCAATTCATACCTCATATGGAGGTAATATGCAAGGCATTAGGTGTTGGGGATTTTTGAACGGAAGTATAATATTAATAACTACTACATTCATTCGTAAGTTCAGTGTTAGATAATATAAAAAAAATCGAATAAAGCTAGGCATGAAAGTTATTTCCGACGCATGAAAATACTTTTAAAACAGTTTACAGTGCCGGCAACGCCACATTCAAAATCCACTGTCAAAAACTTAATAACTACAACCGATGAAGCTTTATGTCTTGAATCGTTTGATGAAAATTTGATTTCCATATATTGAAAATATTAGAGATGGACATTTTTATTGAGTAAACATATGTAGATATTCTGATAAACATACGTTCATTAACAGTAATTCGAAAATCATATACAAGAAATCACAACGTCATTATTAAAATAATTCGAGCAAATTTTTTTCAGCCAGTTACTAATATCACAATTGCTATTATAGAAGTTAAACCTTTCAGTAACCTTACTCAATTGTAATCCCATGAACAAGATTTTTTAGAAACCCAACACTTATGGCAATATCTATGGTGATCTCAGGACACCGCAAGAATATTCATTTTATAGTTTATCTCTAGTCCACAGCCATACGCCTGGTTCGACCACCAAATGCCATGTAAATAGACACAGCATTGCAAGCCATTGTACATTTTTCATAAAGTTTTAAAATGACTACAGAACTATGTACAACACGTATGAGATAACGCAAGCATATTTTCGACTCGCGAGGAGATCGTTACAATGACATTCGCCGAATATAAGATCAATATCACAATATCCGTTTTTAGTGAAGCAGTGCGACATTGCTGATATATTCCATAACACACTCCAAAAATAATTCGTGAGCAACACCTTGAAGAAAGACATTTGACGAAGGTTTCCCATTTGGCAAGCCATTCAGCAGCAAAGTGCTGCGATAAGCTGAGACAAATCGTAAACGAAGGTCAGTCCAATACGGTGACTGCAAACTTTTATGTATTTTCAAAATGCGATTGCGAGAAAACTGTATGGTGTTAATGTTTTCGTTTTTTATTTTATGTGTTATTTCACATACAGCTTTCACGGACAGCTTATAAGAACTGCACCTTCCTTAAACCTATACAAACCTAAACCGAACTATGCTTTCCGAACAAGGAGACCATATACTTTCGTAAAGCAATATGATGACCTTTGTCGAAAATCAAATAAAACCTTATATACAAAATATTATTTAAATTCAATAATTTACACACAATAAAAGCTTAAACATTAAATCTTTGAAAGTAAAATTGTCAAACTGGCAAAATTGCAAACTTCAATACAAACAACAATAGTTCCATATCCATTTTAGATAAGGACTCACAATTGGGTTGAATTGAATAAGGAAATATATTTTTAAATATCAGAACAAGAAAATCTGGGTTAAAATCTGAGTGTTGTACTATTCTGAGATTGACAGTTTGACGCTAATTTCAACTTCTTTTTCCTTTATCTACCCAATAGTCGCACTGCAAATTCAAAATGTAAAAAAGGTTGTGTCGCTATCTGTAAGAGAGATACGATATCGTATTTTGTTTCAAAAGGTATTTTAGAGTTATTCTAGTCTTTTGTTATGGAGAAAATGGTCTACAAAATAATTTTTCTTATTACCTTAGTGCAGTTGCAAATATAACGAATACTTTTGTAACTTTTACTTTCAGTATTTGTCCGTTTTTAGTGGTTTTAGAATTATAATTAGATAGTTAAATGGATTTATTCATTATAATGCAGAACAAAATTGCATTAAAATATTTAATTATTTCTGGATTGATGCATTGCGAAATTATAGGGTGAGTTTTAAAATATGGGTTTTAAACAAATTGCAAGTGGAAAAGTTTGACAAAGTAGCGTTTTTCATTTCAGTAAAATGTTCTTAAACCTTTTTAGTACCGTTGTTATATCTCTAACGTTCTTTAACTTTGAAAATGACGTATGAGTTAATTACAACTCAATATGGAAATAATTCGTGCGCAGTTTCTTGGACGAGATGTCACAATTGCGAATTAATATATGAATTAGGAAGTTTCGGAAATCTTACTGACCTATGTGTGATCAATGTTTTTATTGTTAGAAACCCAGACTATGACTTACATTGATCTCAGAGAACCAAAGGAATATTTATGTTATAGCTTCTTCGTAGGCCAGTTATACGCTTCGACCGACCACCAAGTTTTAAAATAGAAGCAAACCTCGGTGCTACACCTGTGAGCTAGCGCAGAATATTTTCAACTGCGATTCAGATTCTTCTGATGACCTATTTGTGCATTACACAAGCAAAAGTGGTACTATGGATTATTTAACGTGAGGGAAAAAAATAATACACTATGTTGTGTTCATTCGGCTCAATGATAAAATACTTTCTTACGGAACTGTATGGCACAGGATGGAAACCCGGGAAAAACTCATTGCTTATCCGTGATTTATTTTGCCAAATTAACTGTATTACAGTACTCTTATCTTTTGCGTAATTAAGTACTGTTTTGATTTTAAATCGTAGTAACCCTAAAAATATTTTTTTAACTTTCTACAATTTTTTAATTTTTTTGATTCTTCAAATTATATATATTATTTTATTCTATGAAATATAGGGAATTCATGATTAATAAGGAATCCAAAAACACCGGCTCTGAGACAGATAGGCGTCTCTGTTCTACTAATGTGATATCTCGCTTTCGTGTAGCTTGGCTTTGGTGAGCCTCGTTTAAAAATGAATAGGGAGTAATTCAATTTGCTTAGCTGGGAGTGAAAATCTTGATTTTTATTTTCTTACCAAGTAACAACGCTGCATAGTCTCTTATATCATTTTTACATGGAGTCGAAAGTAGTCGAAAGCCAAAGGACAGTGATGCAAGTCGGCAGTAGCCTGAGGCTTAAGATAGAAAATCGATAATTTCTCTCACGATAGAGAGGCTTATTCAACTTTGTTCTGAACTATAATATTATAGCAAGCACAAAGACATCCACTATCATGGTCGTCCGATGAATAAATGGAAGCGGTCACATTTTGCGTTAGTTTTTGGTAGAAATTATTAGTTTTACCAAATCAAAATTTCAAAATCGTCAATAAATACGCATTTTCTTCAGAATTCAAATATTATTAATAATAATTTGAAAATAAGTTTTTTAAAAAATTTCTGTACATATAACGGATTAAACAGATATGCTTAAAATAATAGTGTGGGTCTAATTTTTGTCGAACACTGTATTTTCGCAAGTTTCGAATTTCGAAATTCAAATGCGATTGCAAAAATGTGAGAACGTTTATGCTACTGTTGCACCACTACACCTAAACACGTGAGCAAAGTGCAGTTATTGGTATTCGTGCAAAACACATTTATTCAAGTCCAGAGTTATGGTATTTGTACTAGGTCTAATAGGTGATAATGATGAGTACCTGACCAATTTACGCTTTGTTAAGTAAGATTATTATTCTTAACATTCCTTCTTATAAGATTATACATCCTAAATTCAGGGAGCACCCCTATAATGTGGTAACATTGCTCCGTGACACAATCTAGCGGTCAAATCCAACGTGAATTTGAATATCTGAGATTTAAACAGTTAGCCAAAAATACATGGCCAGCGAATTAAATAATTGAAGGTTAATTGACTGACTGACCGTTTATACATCCACTAAGAGATTCAATCAATTGAAAGCATACATCGTACAAGGAATTGCGCCCAGCTAGAATCGCATTGTTTCCCACTGTATCCGGCCGTGCCTCTTCGCGTGCTGCCATCGCTGCGATCGAGAGGCGAAGGGCCGACGCCCCCGGAGTGGTGGCGCTCTTGATAGAGGCCCTCGCGCCTCGTATCTGCTCCCCACGCTTAGTTTGAAACGCACCCAGCGCTTAATCACGTGCCAACAGCCCCTTCGCTGCTCTCGGTGACTTGAATCCACGTACCCTGTTCTACTGGAATCATCTAGTCGCTCTAAATACGTCAGAATTTCAGTATCACGTATGCGTGAAAGTAATTCTGGAATGTTTTTTTGTAATTGCAGGTGAAATCGTAGTTGTATTTTCGTAAATATAAAATTATATTACTTTGCATCCAAAGGTCTTCAGTGAAGGGCGCAATAGATTACTCCATGCTCTTAGAAAATCTATAAATAACTCTCAACAAATTCACTTATCGCTCTTTTGAATCCCTTTTAATGCTAACAATTTTAGATTTTCTGGTGTAAAAAGATCAATTACGAAATTTAATGTATTTCTTCAGTTTAGATAAAAGAGTAAATGTACCTTTGCAGACTACACCTAAATTTATTATGTAATGGATCCAATCATAATTAACAATCACTACATCGGAGGCTCGTTTAAGCATTCTATAAATCTCACTGTGCACCGGGATATTCTCGTGAAAATTCAAATGATTATAGAATTTAAATTCACTTAATTGTTACATTATTATATTTTCAAATGTGAAAAATAATGTTCTCAAAGAACATATTATTTTGAGAGAAGTTAAAGTTTTGAACCTGAAAATTGATATGAAGTGGGCAAAACAAAAGTATTAGCAAAAACATTAACCTAATATATACGTAGTTGCTTGCCGTAGTAGCTTGCTCTTTAATTGAAATAATACCTTGAAAGTGTTTTAGCAATTAATCTAACAAAATTTGTATTTCGCATGGTTTTATCTCATTCACTGGTCTGCTCTTTCTACAAATCTATACTTTTTTCTGAGTATTATTTTATTTAACGTTCCAGATTTGACCACAAATCTTCAATAAAAAAAATCATCACTGCACTGCATTCATGCTTTGATTACAGAGAATGGAGATTTAATGTAAGTTGAATTAAGGTTACATTTGATATAGTGTTTTACAAAAAACATACTTCATTTTATTTTGTAGTTTCATAATAAAGAGAAAGTATTGAATCTAGTGATAATTAAATATAGTGGTAATTGTATCTCGATATTTTAAGAGATGTGTATTTTTCGAATCCCCGATAAACTAATTTTAAATACGGTGATACTCGCGGATGGACGGACGGAGAGACAGACTTTTTGAAAGAAAAAAGGGAGCAAACCCACAGTTTTCGATATAAAGGATCTCGAGATATACTCCGCATATACGAAGTGTAGACAAAGTAGAAGTCTGAAATCAGAAGTGAGGATGGAAACATTTCCGTTCACTGTATCATTCTCTCTGATTCACCAAAACGTTTCTCCTACGCTGAACAATATCAGAACATAAAACACCTCCTCTTCCATTTTGAAATATTACAACAGTCAATGTTACAATTAGTTATAAACGTATAAGTTGAAATATTACAACAAACAGTGTTACAATACAGTAACATGTTTAGGCATTCACAATATCAGTTTTGATCGTGAAATACAAACATAACTATGTAAAACGTGTAAAATATAGACTTCAATTGTATAATCAATTTTATTTACTACGGAAAGGCAAAGGAACTTTGGTAGCTTTGAACAGATTATTTACTCCTCTGATCTAACGAATGAATGTTTTACTCGTTTATGCGCTTCTTGGCGGGAAGTGCTTTTATTTCTTATTGATCGGATAAAACTGGGATCCATTTGTGGTCGCGCGGTTGTAGAGATCCAATTTTCCGCAAACTCTGAGGGGCGAAGACCAACAACGTTTGTTCCGTGTGTGTGTGTACCCTCGACCCCAGGACGTAAATCTGTGACCTTCCGAGCGGGTGACAGATGTCAAAGGAGAACCTTATCACGAGGGAACATTGTAAATTCCTCCTCGCGATAAGCACACAGTAAAGGGCCAAGGGAAACTGGATGTGCAAGGTTGGTTTAGTCTACCGTATAAGAGCTCACCGTCGCCCTGTATCACGGTGAGCAGTTTGGAGCGTAAATCGGGGTACACAACATGTTTCATGGAAGTTTGGAACTATGTTTGTTGTGATTACAGCTGATACTGTTCCTGCGCCAGCAGTGTATCTGCTTCTATAACTCTCTGAAGTCGTTTCTCTTTATAGCCGTGTTTTTGAAATTGCAAGTATTATTTGCACATAAAAAGTTGAGATTGTGTTCGGGTTTATAATGTTACAGGTTCCTTAGCAATATATTTGTTATATCTACTATTTACTTATTGAAATACATGAACAGTCTTTCAAAAAATTCGTAGAGGCCCCATTCTATCGCAAGCAAAATCATGCATTTTAAGTGTTCGCGATCATTCTTTAAAAGATACTTCCCTTCAACATCTTAATCAAATATTTCAAAATTTTACATCAAACATTTTAAATTTTTTATCTTACGAACAGCAATCCTTTTGAAAGTCAATTTCTATTACAGAATCAAAATCCAATAACAAACATGGGTAGCTAAAGAAAAAAGGATTTATGGCATTTGTAAAGTTGTAAAGTGGAGAAAGAAAGGAGGAAACATTATATATAGTATTTGTGTGTGTGTGTGTGTGTGTGTGTGTGTGTGTGTGTGTGTGTGTGTGTGTGTGTGATGCTTTAGAGGCAATAAGACAGTCGCAGATTACGAAATGAATTAAACCATAAATTATATGAATGTATTATACTGATTGTCAATAAATTGATTAACGGACTGATTTGCTAATATTTGCATTTAGTTTTAAATTCTGTGAGCGTAGAATCATCGTATTGAATTTTGAATTTGCTTCGTTTGGGCTTTTACGGCCGTATTTTCTTTTTTACATACGCGCGCGTGCGCAGGATACAACTGATCCGTGAGTTTGTCGCGCTCCTAGTGTAAATGATTCATCGGCCGCTACTTGAAGCGTCCGAGTATTGCCAGCACTAAAACGCGCGCGCGAGGGAAGGGCGTAGCGCGGAGCGGACGTTGCTACCAGTCTCATCAGCGTAATGGACACTTTGCGTGCTACGGCCGTTTGTGCGGCTCGCCGCAGTTAAAATACGAAGTCTATAATCAGCGCTCAGCTAAAGTGGCGGTTTATAAACTGGGATACGTACACCACCCTCCACGGAAGCCGTGAATGAGTTAATCAAAAAAAAGTTTATTCGAAAAAAATAGAATGCTTTGCTTACGATTAGACTTTTGTACCTGTCCTCGTGTTAATGGAAATTATTGGCAGCTAATTCTTCTTGATCAATCAGGCATACTATTGACAATCACGAGATCCGATTAAAAATTGCTTTGTTATTTTTTGATTGACGAAGTTTACCTTCCACGGCGTTTTATAAAGTGACTTCGTAAATATGTTATAAAACTCCCATCCAAATAGAGGAACTAATTTGATCATACATTGAACTCTATTAGGTTCATTCAAAATTGATCCAATTAAAAATACTAGAAGAAATGCTTGGCATTTGAATTGTTTCTGTACAGATTGTGAAAATATGTAACTGGGATTTTTATAACATTGATAGGCCTACATTTGACAGTCACTTGGTCTTTAAATTATCCAAATGTTCATGACTTACTAAAACACTGTTTTTGACCTGCACATGAGCTTTCGAAGGTTGCTGGTTTCCATCTTCACATTCTAGACCTACAAAACATACATTAGATAAACAACAAAACGTTGTGGTTAGTTAAACATTTTTAAATTTTTACATTGTACAAGATGTATAATGTGTGTACGTTTACATTATTTGGTTTATATTAGTCTAATATACGGTTTTTGTATGGCTAGAATCTGAACGTGGAAGCAATCACTGCCAACCTTCGAAAACTCATGTGCAGTTAAAGTTTTAAAATATTGTTTTAATATATCATTATAACAATTTGGATAATAAAACACCAGGTGACTGTCAAATGGACCTACATGAAACATGGATCTACCAATGTTTTAAAATGGAATGCTTTGTATACTAAACATTTCCTCCTCTTTTCTTTTCTCTCAACAACTCAACAACTCAGTACACTGAGGTGACAATGGGATATCAATATGCTAATATACAGATGACAGTAGTATGGTATAACAGTAAAAGGGCAGAGCATTGGCAGAGTGTTCATTTGTTCTCAAATTATTTGTGTGAAAAGTTTTCTGACGTGATTGTGGCCGCACGACGGGAATTAACAGACTTAGAACGAGGAATGGTAGTTGGAGCTACACAAATGGAAAATTCCATTCCGGAAATCTTTAGGGAATTTATTATTCTGAGATCTACAGTGCCAAGATTTTGCCGAGAATATGTAATATTAAGCATAACCTCTCACCACGGACCACGCAGTAGCCGACAGCCTTCTCTTAATGACTGAAACCAGCGGCGTTCGCGTACAGTTATCAGTGCTAACAGACAAGCAATACTGCGTTAAATAACCGCAGAAACCAATGTGGGACGTACGACGAACGTGCCCACTTGGACAGTGCAGCGCAATTGGGCTTAAACGGTCTATGCAACAGAAGGCAGACTCGAGTGCCTTTGCTAACAGCACGAAATCGCCTTCAGCGTCTCTTCTGGGATCGTCACCATATTGATTGGACTTTAAACGACTGGAAAACGTGGTTCAACCCTATAATTCCCAATTTTAGTTGGTAGGAGCTGATGGTAGGGTTCAGATGTGACACAGCCTCCACGAAGCCTTGTGACCCAAACTGTCAACAAAGCACTGAACTCATCATTGACTCGAAATGGTTATGTCCAGCTACTTGGAGTCAGTTTGCAGTCATTCATGAACTACAAGTTCCCAAACAACAATATCGATCGCATTGAGCCATGCTAACAGGTCACAATTGTTCGCGATTGGTTTGAAGAACATTCTGGACAATTCGAGCAAATAGTTTGGCCGCCCAGATTGTCCGACATGTATCCCAGCGAACATTTGTGGGACATAATGAAGAGGTCAGTTCGTGCACAAAATCCTGCGTAGGCACAACTTTCGCAATTATGGACTGCTATAGAGGCAGCGTGGCTTAATATTTCTGCAAGGAACTTCAACGATTTGTTGAGTCAATGTTGTCTCGTTGCTGTTCTTTGCCGGGCAGAAGCAGCTCCGACACCAAGAATCTCATGACTTCTGTCACCTCAGTGTAGAAGTATATTGAAAAACAATCTCTGGTTTTTATAGTGGAGGCGTAAAACAGGTTCAAAAATATTTGAACATTCCCAAATTTGTAAAATTTCAGAGATTTAAGTAACAATCAGAAAACTACCGTTAACACATTTGTGCCGGCGCAGATCACACACAATTCATTACTCGCCCAGCTGGGAGCTCCTTGTATGAGCTAGTAATTTACCGCCCAGTTTGGGCGCACCATAGTGTTTGAATTGATAATGGGGGCGAGAATATGAATTTCGCGGGTCTCACTTTAAAAAAAAATGATTTCCCGGCTGTCTGCAAATCATCTGGTTTGTCGCCGCCTCGCTAGGTTGAAGATAACCCAGGTATTTGGCGCCCCCTGCCTAGCGTCAGAGAGTCTGAGTCTCTGCCGCCGCCTCCGTCTCGGACTAGGACACACCCATGGAGGAAAATCACTCATATCAGTGAGATGGACTGGCATATCGGCATGACGCGAGGTGTAGCTCAGGATTTCTAAAAACTGCGCAAACACTTTGTAAATGTTTCTACTCTTCGACAGCCAGTGTGCTGATAGTGGAGTAGATGGTTAAGAATTTTGTAGTGTCTATAAGCAGAGAGATTAAATGGTTTTTGCCATGAGTTATCTTGAAAATTGTTAATTAATAATTTTAATGTGTATGATAATATAATATCAGTTTTTGTTTTGCGGCTCAGCCAATGAACTGTTCCTTCTGAAAATAAATGCGCTATTTGTTCTCGTTCGAAATAATGTTCTTATTCAATTGTTTCCTTTTTTGTCGAATGTTATGAAAATTGTTAGAATTTTACCCTTTTGTTAACAACTA